TCTTAATTAAAAAAAAAAAAAAAAAAAAAAAAAAACAGCAGAAAAATATATAGAAGTTGAAGGAAGAGGGGTATTACATATATAAGGTGTTCTGAGTTCAACAAATTTTATTGGACAAAAAAAAGAACAATTAGATGAGACAATAGGCTTAGCCTATATAAGTCTTCTCCTATCCGGTTTACATGGACAAAAAAACATAAATTTAATACATAGCTCAACAAGACACACTCATATACCCTTACAAACATATAAGCTAGAACATTCAACCAAGTTACAATAAAAAGAAAGAAAAAGAAACATTATTAGATGACATTTAAAAACTTATAAAATACTTTCTTAGCAACTCATATATATGTTTGTACACTCAGACCACACTCCATAACACACATACACTCATTTTCACTAACGAGGAAGAAATGGTGAGGGAATTAACCTACAATCCAAGTATAGGAAAAAGTGATAATCTTTTATGGTCCTTTGAATTAACATGTAAAATAATAACCCCAATCCTCAATTTCGACAAACCCAACTTTCACAGAGGAGACTGTGATGTCATCAGAGATAAACTCTCAGAACTAAACACCAACAGTCTCACATTAACTGATATTACAACTGATTCTGGGGACTACTTTGCTGTATATCTAAACAATCTAGTGAGAGAATGTATACCAGTGAGTAAAGCGAGAACAAGAACCACGACAAAACCGTACATCAACAGAGACTCCTTAAATGCAATAAGAACTAAACACCAAAAATGACTCCAGTACATCCACTGTAAAACAACAGAGAATTACAAAGAATTCAAATCTTCAAGGAATCGAGCAACTTTCACTGTTCGCGAATCTCTTCAAAACTATGAAAAAATATAGCAGAAAACATAACCTCAAATGTTAAACCATTCTGGAAATATGCGAGATCCAATACAAAACCCAAAACTTCAATAACCAGGATTGTAGGACCAAACAATGAGCTAACCTCTTCAGATGATAAAACAGCTAACGTTCTGAACGAGTATTTTGTGAGCGTCTTTGTAGGAGATGGAAACATTGAATTACCTTACTTTCCCAATAGGAATGATCAATTAACCCTCTCTGACATCAATGTGACAAAGGAAGATGTTGAAAATTCAATCAAGAGGCTTAACTCTAATAAATCAGCTGGACCAGATGGTTTACATCCTAATTTTTTCTTTGAAACATCTAACCAGATCTCTGAACCTCTCAGAATCATCTTCAACAAATCCACCGAGAAATCTGAAATATCATCAGAATGGAATGTCCAATACGCAAAAAAAACTCCACCAAACAAGCGGAAAATTATGGACCAATTAGTTTGACATCTGTTCCCTGTAAATTGCTACAGCGCATTTTTAGAGACAAAATTATACAACACTTGAACAATAATGGCTTGTTCACCAGAAGTCAACACGGGTTCAGACCAGGACGTTCATGTAAGATTGGGCAACTGCCATGGAGAAGGGGGCCAATTCAGATGTCATCTACCTAGGCTTCTGTAAAGCCTTTGATGAGGTGCTTCTACACAAACTAGAAGCATATGGCATTACAGGTAAAGTCAGCAACTGGGTACGGAAATACCTGACAAATCTGAAACAAAGAGTTGTTGTCAATGGAACCTTATCGAGAGTACCGAATGTGACAAGCGGGGTCCCCCAGGGAAGTGTTATCGGGCCGATTTTGTTTCTCATTTATGTTAATGAATGAAGCTATTTGCAAATGATACAAAAATATACTCAAGTATATCTACACCACAGGATAGGTTAGAGCTACAAATTAACATCAACAAAGTGTGTGAATGGACTGAGAGGTGGCTCATGAAATTAACTTTAGAGAAATGCAAACACTTGGAATTTGGTAATACAACCAGCAATAGCCAGTACAACTTCACAAACGAAGGAGTCACAACCATGATTGTAAAAACAGACAGGGAGAGACCTCGGAGTGACAATCGACAAACAGCTTAAACTCAGCGGACATGTGTCTGCAGCCGTCTTCAAAGGAAACAGGATGTTAGGAATTATTTTTAGAACATTTACATTTCTAAATCAATCAACATTCCTTTTATTATATAAATCACTTGTCATACCTCATATTAAGTATTGCTCCACAATATGGTCACCCCTCCTAAAGAAAGACATACATTCACTGGAAAAAATACAACGACGGGCAACTAAAAGGTTAAACTGCATTGCAAGACTTACCTTACCCAGATCGACTAAAACGACTAGGACTGCCCACAATTGAATATAGAAGACTACGGTCTGATATGATTCAAGTGTACAAAATTCTGAGTGGTGTGGACGATGCAGACAAGTCTAAATTATTTAATGAATCCACCTATCCGGCAACTAGAGGTCACCAGCTAAAGCTCTTTAAGAAACAAACCAATCGTGTAGTCACAAATTGGACCAATTTATCAGCTGAAGTGGTTAATGCCAAAAGTTTGAATATTAAAAATAGGTTAAACGTGCACTGGAAAGATCATGCACACACATTGTATCCGTCCTTTTAATCTACAATGTGTAAATATTAATAATTACTATGGTGACAATGAGACTACACTAGACGTCTAGATACATATAATTTCATACAATGTATGCCATTCTTCGCGCACTCCATCATCAACCAATCAATTAACGAAATGCAGATTAATAGCATCACTACAAGCCACAGGCTTTCCATTTATGTAATAGATATGCATTCACACACACACACACACACACACACACACACACAAGCCCTTACTCAAAAGCGTATTAATTAAATAACCTATAAAATTTATAATATATATATATATATATACATATGAATAAATGTAAAAGGCAATGAAAACAGCCCTAATTCTACTTAAACTGTTAGTAGCAGAAATGTAATTTTGAACTTTTTGAGAGAATACATAAATTATCATCAGTAGATAGAAATGCGTTACTAGATGTAAGTAGAACAACAGACGAATATCCAAAATGATAAGTGATGTCAGTTATGAAATGGCTGTAGTTAGTATAAAGTGGACAGAAGACGAAATAGTGTTCAGCATTTTCACAAGATGCGCCACACGAGCAAGATGGATCAACTGGCAAGTGATCATTGAATTTATCAAAATTTAAGTTGCTAGCATTATTACGTAATTGACACAATAATATATTTAGTTTTCTTGGATTACAGGTGATGAAGTCTTCAGAAATGTTCATGGGAGGTGTTTGAATTTTGTTAATTTAAGAACTGAATCGAGATTGTTCCATAGGCGCATGACATCAGGAAAGAAATTACGGTTGTATAGATACAAGTTCTAGATTGAGGAATGTTAAAAAATCTATTTGTCCGTAAATGGTGATTGACTTGTATATTGATATAAGGTTCAATGATGTCAAATATATAATCAGGTGTTAAGTGGTTGAGGATTTTATACATTAAGACAAGTTTATGCTTATTCCGCCGATCTATTGATTTTTCAAAAACCTGTTTCATAGTATAATTTCTGATGAGATGTACCACTTCGTAGGCCAGTTATAATTTCCATTGCTTCAATTTGAACGGATTCCAGTAGTTTATCTTCCCCAGTGTTACAGTTACCCGAGACAGAAGAGGCATATTCTAAAGTAGGACGAATGAAGGAGAGATATAGTAATTCTAAAGAATTCCTATCAATTTTATGTTTTAGCATACGCAGACTATTTAATCTTTTTCATGATTTGTCATAAATAGATTTAAGATGATCACCCTAAGAACCATTAGTATTAAATGCTACGCCAAGATGTTTATGAGAAATATTTTAATGTATTATCTATATGTGTATAAGGTGTTCCGTTTGCTGCGCTTGCCCACTTATTTGTTTCAAACCGTTTTGGTGCCTTATGTTAAGAATGATATTGACATTTGTTTTGAATAGAAGATCTTCATCTCCCCCAGAAAGTAGCATTGAGACGGGAGATTGTGGCGAGACCGAAAACGATAATACGCATCTTCATTACCATCATCATAATGGCAGGGTGATGATCTCATCTATTATGTGAAGTCCGCAGAAGCCTTGACGAGACAAACC